TATAATTTATATAAATATCTCTCGAATCAGTAACGATTATTTTGGAGATGGGAGAGTTGGCAAAATTTTTTGTGTCTCTAAATTTGATTTAAGCATTATCGGATCGCTTAATTTTAATTGGATCATATGTATCGGTTAGATTAGCCGTCAACTCTAATATATTCCGAAACTTTACAGTGTACAAAGTGCTATGTTCTGTGCCCATGACAGTGTCTACTGACAAATATTCCGTGCATTTTCAATGAACATTTTTCAAAATATCTGCATTATTGTTATTATTGACGAAATAGTTTTTGGATGCAATAAGCGGTTTTATATAACTATTGATTGCCATTTAATATTGCCTTATGGATTCGGGTAAACTCTAGATTTCGCTCTGTTCTACACCAAATTAGAAAAATTCTTCGTTAATGACATGTTGCTCTCCGTTTCCAACCGTAAATCTCTTATTTTTAACAGATTATCTGGATAATGGCCTGAATTTATGTCATTGTAGAGGTGCACTCTATATATTTTATTGTCAAACTAAATCTCCTCGCATATTACGTTCACATAGGCTAGACAATTTGAAATGGGATTGAATTTCATCGGTAGGCGTGTACCTCTCCGAATTACCGCTAGAGCGTGCCAGAATTTATCAGCCAGTAACGTAACAATCCCTCCCATATAATATCCGTGCTACTACTCAATCCTGCAGAGTTCGGTTTAGGGCCTTAATTGTTTTTTCGCGTGTCATTGTGCTTTCGACACACACTATAATAGCTTATGTTAGCACAACATTTTACCCAGAGCACTGTTTCGCGACTTCCAATGGAAATAAGATTTTTTTTTTCCGTGATGAAAAATATCCAATATATAATAGTCACTTCCCATTCGTCCAACCATACACATGAAAGAAAATCACGTCGGTCTGTTACTCTAGCGTAACGCGAAAAAAGTACAAACAAATGAATTTAAAAGGATTGGTATATGGATTTGTAAATAATAAAAAATAATATATACTGCAGCGGTTATCGTTTCCGTTCGGGCGATACTGTTTAAACATTTACAGGATGACCCGCGTACAATAGGTACGGGTGACTGGACATTTATTAAAACGTTTAATTGTAATGGTGTCTTAAAAAAAGCGCACAGTGTTTTATCGAACGTGACTTTTATTGTCAAACTTGTATGTCGAATAATAATATAATTATGCAACGACAATGTGTATACAGTACAGGTTAGGAGGATATGTCGCAACGACGTTATAATACGGATACGTTTTTGTCCACGTAAATATGTATACGGATGCGTACAAGTATTATATGCGTAGATGCGAAACGTCCGAGTACAGTAAATTCTCTATACGCTACATAATCTCTATTTCAATCCCGTTCGTTAAAACTGTGTTGCCCTCGCGATGTTATTATTATTACGGAATTGACACGTATTACATACCCATATTATTGTAGAACGAAAATTGCGGCATTTCGCGCGATGTACACGCGGCATCGAAAATAGCGACGTTGTACAAAAATGGTACAAAAAAAAAATAAAATAAAAAAAACCACGTCCATATACAGCGGGACGGTAAAACGCCACAATCCCGGCCGTCGATATTATAAACGATAATAATAATAATAATAATAATAATAATAATGATGATGATTTTAACGTGGGCCTGAACGCCACGGTATAATAACCGGCACATTTTTCGATACGTCCGATACGAATCCCGCGTAACATTCTACGTATGGCGAATTATCGTTGCGATGCTGCGGCGGCGCGGACCGCATTTACCTAGATAATAACGCCCGGGTATATGATAACGTGACTCACTCGTGTGCGCGTAAGATTTCGAGGTCAATTAAAATAGACATCTGCTATTTATAATATCGTATCGCGAGAACACGGAATTTTGAAATAATTCAACCATGAACTATTGCCACTTGCCGTTCCGCCGCCGCCGTTGTTGTTGCAGCGGTTTCGCGTTACGTTATTACGAAAACAACGGCGCGTTTGTCTGCGATGCGGTATCCGCGACAATGCGACGGATTTATATTGTCAGGTACCGTGTAGCTGAATATTAACTCGCGGTATTTCCCGGGTGCGGTGGTTTCGAAAGGATCAATCGACGACAAAAGACGGTCGATTTAACGGGTCTTGCCGTTTCCGTCGTCATCGTTATCCTTGCCGAGGGGTACACGTCACCGTTATCCGGTAATTTATCTATTAAAAAGTAAACTTCCTCGTCCGCGACAAGTGAATTAATAGCGGCAATAACTATTTTTTTTTCCATTCGTTTAAATCAAAAACAAAAACAAAAACGCCGTTTCTTTCAAAAATACCAAAAACTCTACGTCACCCACACTTTAGAAGTTGGATTTCGTGATAGACAGCGATCGTTAACTTGTTTCAAATGTACAGTGTCCACGAATATCGGAATAAAACTGTAGATTTCGTATAATGGACGGACAAATAGACAGACAGACACGCAGCAATCTAACGACACGAAAAATTATTATAATCAATATTGTATATGTAAAATGACCAACATTTTACCCTGAAATCTTGTGCCAATCAAAAAGTTTATAAGAACTTTCTTGTATAATATCATATTTTTTTTTTATTTCCCCTCGTAGTTTTTTTTAATAAATACGAAAAACTGTAATTTGTTTGTATCATTTTTGTTGATTTTGTGTTATCTTGGCAACGAGCGATCAAAACATAAGACTTATAATATTCTACTCAGAATCGTTTTTCTTGAGTAGTGGTTTATCGTTGCGTCTAGATATGAATTAAATTACTGTACATATTGTATCCTTCCATTTGATTTTCTAATTATGTACAATGGTGGTAGGTACATTCATCAGCAGTTTCGGACTTTTATTAATATTATATAGCGTTACAAAACTGTACGCACATAGAAACGAAATTGTACAGTGTACATAAACGAAATTTGAAACGCTACGATACCGAAGCTATATAGTATATAGTATTATGTTTCGGTACGAAATCTATTGAAAACGCCATCTTTTCGCTCTTACGCCTCCCACACCTCCCACAAACAATAGTGTACTATAGTGTATAGTGTACAATAATGTATAGTAGTGCGCGAGTTTAGTGCGATGAACTCGTCAAAAACAGATTAAATCTCCTATATTATATTATACGAGAAATAATATCATTCAACAAAGCCTATAAATATATACAAACACACGCACACACACACATATATATATATACATTATTGTATACAGGCGCGCTCTTGAGGCGGTCATTTCATCACGCGCGGATGTGGAGGACTCGCGCAAACCAACAGCGGCGGCCATGGCGTCGTGGAAACCGCGCTTGTCATTTATCAAAACGCATAAATATATTATATGTACCTGTATGCCGGAAAAAAAAAAATCTTTTCCTCCGTATACATAAATACGCACGCGTCAAACGACAATACGAGTAGCTAACGGACGTATAAAAGACCACGGGAATAATAATAATAATAATAATAATAATAATAAAAAAAAAAAACGTGAATTCAAAATAACGGTAAACGTGAACAATATACGCGAAAATGCGCGCGGTAATCTGACAACAATGACAGCCGCAGAGACGCTCCAATTTTCGCGTCGATAAGTATCAGCTTCGACGAGAAATTTCCCGATAATGTTTTCTCTTGATGGTCTACATCGGTTCGTTTCAAAAAGAGGGGTACCTATGCCGTCCAACATCTATTCTGACTGAACTGTGGTAGTGGTACTAACTATTTGCAGTTGCGGACATAAAACTACAACGAAATTTCGAAAAAACGTCAGCTCAACCTTCTGTCATCGATGTTAATCCGTGCCACCGGAATTTAAATCCCACAGCCGCATCACATTATGGCGATTTGTGAGAAACCGCGGTAAAATCTGTCAAATACCATTTAATAAGGGTAATTGGTACCCAAACGTTGACCTTCGAATACCCTATTGAATTCCCGACTTCTATCAGCAGTGCGGTCTGGCTTTAATGATTTGTTACGGAATATTACAGTAAAACTGTCGTTTTCTCGTAGTGTGTAATCTACGAGCGTACATTTTTCTAACTTTATTCGTAATACTTTATTTTATTTGGTGCTATTTTTTCAATCATTAATATAGAAAAATGTCTTAATATTGAATCGAAACGTAAACAAAATGCAGACAACAGTAAAGAAGAAAATAAACGTAAGTTTAGAAAATATGATAATAATTAATTAGATTTTGGTTTTACTTACATTAAAATAGATAACGAAGAACTTCTTAAGTGTATTATTTGTTTGAAAGTATTATAGTAAGGTTCCCTTATAAATTGAAACGTCATTTGGAGATTGAATATATAATACATTAAATAATAAACCACGTGATTATTTTGTAAGACAACTTGCAAAATTAGGAAAATATTTTTCTAGTTTCGTTAAACACACAAGCGTTCCATCTAAAGCCTTTTTAGCTTCATTTAAAGTAGAAGAACTCATTTTATCATCAGCAATAGATATGGTTTTCTACTCTGATAGGAGATACTGCAGCAAACCCACTTAGAAATATATCTTTATTTAATAATACTATTAATCAGCGAATTCAAGATATCTCAGATAATATAAATAACCAGCTTATTGATAAATTAAGAAATACAAATTTCGCGAATCAGCTTGATGATGCAACCGATAATAATGAAGACGCATTTTCAATACGTTATGTTCGGTTTATGGACGGGATAGATATTATAAAGAGTTATTATTTTGCAAATCTATATTAAGTGGTACTAAAGCTAAAGACCTATTTGATATCACAAATAATTGTATGGATTATAATATTATTAAATAGGAAAACTATTTAGGCGTCTGTACAGATGGAGCTCGAGCTATGTCTGGTTAGTACGATAAACTTCGGGATTTAATTCGACAAAATGCTCCAGAAATGATATGGACTCATTGTCTTAATCATCGAGAGGCTCTGGCGTCATAAAATATAAGTTGTTTTTTAAATTATGTACTTTAAATGGCTATAAAAGTAGTTAACTATGTAAAAACAAGACCTGTTAAAGCAAGATTTTTTCAAAAACTGTGTGAAGAAATGGGTGTAAAACATTACTGCGTTACAACATTACTGTTTTACTGTAATTCTAAATGGCTATCAAAAGGTAATGTACTTTCAAGAGTATTCGAACTTAGACAAGAACTTTATTCTTATTTAAATGGAAAAGGTTATATTAATAGCAAAATGTTTTTTTGATAGTGATTTTGTAATAGAATTAGCTTATTTATGTGATATTTTTGAAAACTTAATTCACTTAATATATCTTTACAAGGTAAAGAAACTCATATTGTGCAATTATATGATAAGATAGTTGCTTTTATTAAACAAATCAACTTATAGAAAAGAAAATTAACAGAAGAAAATGGGTTTAACCAATCAGTTTAAAGACACTATTTTTAGAATATCTGACGAATCTTGAAACTCATTTCATGAAATATTTCCCAGAAGAAATGAAACAGTACTATTAAATTAAAGACCCGTTCACTGAAAAACCAAAATTAAATTTCACAACTACAGAAGAGGAACAATTGACATTTCATCCGATTCTTCATTAAGAATGCAATTTTTTTCATATTCACTTTTAGGATTTTGGAACAGTATTAAAGTTAAATATCCTGAAGTTAGCAACAAAGCTTTAGGTATATTAATACCATTTGCCACATCGTATTTGTGTGAAGCAGGATTTTCAGCAGTAGCCGAATTAAAATCAAAATATCGGTCCAGACTCAACATGGAAAAAGAAATGCGTGTTGCAGTAACTACGTCAGTTCCTAATTTTAAATTTTGATTTGTTATTGCTAGGTAGTAGTTTTAAAAATAGCAACAATAAAAATAATAATAATAATAATAATAAAAATAGTTTACTTGTCCTCGGCTCCTGAATAAACAAAAATAAATAAATAAACAAATAGAAATTCGTACTGAAAATACTTAAGAACCCCTATTTTACCCTCTTAGGGGTTGAATATTCAAAAAAATCTTTTCTTAACGAAGACTTACGCCATAATTGCTATCTGTATTCCAAATTTCAGGCCGATTTGTTCAGTGGTTTGGGATATGCAATTATGATTTAGTCAGTCGGCTTTTGAATATGGTAAAAGCAGATAGGATAAACAATAACTTATAATTATAACAATAGTGAAATGACAATAATTATGACAAAACAAAATTATTTAAGCCGAATATCAACATTATTGTCATTTAAGGAACGTATAGCTCTGACTATAAGGGATCATTCATTAAACAGTTGAACCGGGAGTTCGGAAATTGAAATAACTTATTGGATCTAGTATGGATGCTTTGGAACACGTAAACTTATATGAGCTTTGCGTGTGTTTAATAGTATAATTTTTTAAATTCTGAAGAATGTAAATAAAGGTTACTAACAGTGTACACGTGTGGTCATTCTAGATCTAATCTCAGTGACTTTTTCAGTCTCGCCCGTCTTTGAATACAAAACACGTTTTTAATTTTATTATGTATAATATCGTTATTAGCAAAATCCCCAATGTTATAGGAGCCAAAAGCCTGAAAAACTAAAAACTTTGTGTGAAAACACGACTACGGATTGTCAAAAATTATCGGACAAACGACCAATTTCCAATTTAATTTATAATACTACCTATAATAAATGTTGTTTATACTCGTAAATCGTTTTAAATTAAGAATATGTGTGCGTAAACCACAGATATATATACAATATAAACTGACCGGAAACTGGTGACAGAAGTGAAGTTACAATTCAAAATTTAATTCGAAACTCACGGGGCTGGTAAATCGATTATATACTTTTATATTGTGATAACTGCTATACCTATCTGCTTGCAATATTAGTAACGATTGTAGAGTGTATAGAAACTATTGTCGAACACGCAATCTGTGATAGGAATCACAGATATAATAGTAATCACATCGCATAGATATTCATATTCACTCACCGCTTTTCATCTATTCACTCGACCTTCCCGTAAAAAAAAAATATCCATGAGCTAATAGATCAGATATTTCCCTTGAATTTTATATTTTGCCCAATTACCATTATTCCCCCCGTAAGATTATTTCTTTTATAGCATATAATATTTTGTTACGAAATTTGCTAATTCAATAATTTTCTGTTTATCTAGTGGACATACAGTAAGTAAATTCTTACTCTAGTTACTTTAAATCCATCGTTTTTATATTCCAATCCATATGTATTCCTATTGGACTTTACCGTGTGTCAATTTTCATACAGAAAAACTCCATAAAAATTCTCTGTTGCAGTCTGCTTCAAACAAAAACATAAGTGCGGCTTATAATCTATTATTTAATTTACAGATTTGTAGTATTTGGACTTTTAATTATTGATGAACGAATCTCACGGACTGATACGGTTCGAATGAAGGTGTGTTAAAAAAAATAAAGGGGATAAGAGGTAGCTATATGGAAATGTATTCAATCTTAACAATATAATAATATGATAGGGCATAGTATTATATAAAAGCATGAAAGCCCATTAAATAAAATAACTGATGGCGATGTTGAAGGATACGCCGAAAAAGACCAACGACAAAATATAATAATATACGATTGAAATCATGATGGACACGAATAGAAAAATATACAACGATCAGAAGGAATTTGTGAGCTACCACAGGGGGGTTAGAGGTGGATCTGTAGAACATTTAAGGGAGCAAACTGGTATGGTAGGTACTGAAACAAATTCAGGGGAAGGGGATTCAGGGGATTCATCATTTGTGAAATACAGTTACTATACACTGATATTTTTTGGGTTCAAACGTATACTGGACCCCTCTTCAATTACAGTCTTGAAAACCTTTATATTTCTAGTCACAATAAAAGAAAAATAAATAAAACGAAAAAAATCGTCCCCTCTCAAATCCGTAATTAAGAGAAGTACGAGGGAAAGCTACAACAAACTGACCTTAGGATTATAAACTAAAAAAAGGAGATAAAAAAAACATAGTATTATTATATTATTTATAGTCTTGTGAAAACCGACTAACCGGCGCCGTCGTAACCCGCCGTCTCATCTTTAGGTACGTTCATTGTGTTACTGCTGTAACGCCGTATTTCATTTTAGAATATTATCATTTTGTAATAAATTATTATGATTATTATTGATTACATAGTAACTTACCTTTTTACGTCGAGTTACTTTCCATTGAAATTTAAAACAAAAAAAGTCCGTCATACTACTTTTCACCATAGCACTAGAGCACTAGGCCATTTGGAGCACTAAATTGTGGTGGGAGAGTTGAGAAGGTAATATAAATAAGACATAGGGTATTTTCGTTGGTATATACAAAACAATGTTGCGCAAAGATAACTAAAAATTTATCTAGATAAAGATAAAAGATAGATACAGATAGTTAAATACAATTTATCTAGATAGAGATAAAAGATAGTTAAAATCTAAGATAACTATACAAAGATGAAAGATAAATATCTATATATAAATCTAATATGAATCACTATTTATCTGGATAAAAAAAAAGATAATATTGTTTTAATTTTATTAATTAATCTACAATTTTTTCATCAATATATATTAGATTCTAAAATCTACAATTTTTATTCGAATTCAGAAATAACATAAATAAGCGACCCAGATAATTTTATTACTTATTATACTTTTTTAATTTTGTTCTTTATTTGTTCAAAGGTCGGATTAATAATGAGACATGGGTTTTAACTTTCAAGTTCAATTTCGAATTTCTTAGATAGCTATATATATATTTATTTTTCTAGACGAATTACATTAGATAACTCAATTATTCATCTAATATAATTCATCAGATGACTAATTTTGTTTATTATCTAGAAAATGTTCAACACTGTTACCAAAGGAGTTAAAGCAACGATACATTTAATCAAAAAACGATTCCGAGCAAAGCTCGTCAAACCGGCAATGTTATGTAGTAAATACGTTTTTCCCTTGCATAGTTTACTTAACTTACGAGTATACTAAAAAATAAAACAAACGTACCTATCGTCGTTTCCTTTCAGTTTTTTTTTTTCAAATGTTCACCTTATTTTTCCATAAATTTTCGTCTCTTCGAATATAATCAATAAATAATAATTCCGAAGAAGATGGCCGCGTCATCTTTAAGCATATTCCAAATTGATCACATTTTATTTTCATTATATTCTATTTGTATATGTACTTACCATGACCGTACAACACCCGTTAGCCGTGAATAAATGTTTCTAAGTAACAATAAGTCAATCAGGGTTAAACTGCATCTTTCCTAGTTCAATAATTGTTCCCGACCGTCGATCGATTTTGATGTGGGTTAAGGATTTTCGGGAACACAGTAATGTAAACACAAAGAAGTATTCCATTTGGGGTGACACCGGGGAACGTGGCAAGTTTCCGAGTTTCTGTTGAGGAAAGCCCACGACGGGCTACGAGATTTCACGCTCGTCTGATCTCACCCCTGTAACTTCTTCTAGTATTCTAAGTCAAAGGTGTACAACAGACCATGAACCAATCCCGATTTTAAGAATGTATTTAGACGGGAAATTGCATAGGTACCGGTGGAAATATTGGATATTGGAAAGTGATGAGAAACTTCGGCAAGTGCCGCCGTCCATCGGACATACTGTTTTACTTATAATTTTTATACATTTTGAATTTGCAACAACTTATTATTTTTTTCACTCTTTTACCTCAACATTTGTGGCGTACATTTCAAATGTAGACTTTGGATTTTCGCCTTCTTCTGTCTACCTAATAGATAATTCGTTATTCTCATTACTGTTGCGAATACTATGGAAAACGGGAAAATGAAACGAACCAATATCATTTTTTTCTAAATTTTATCATTTTCTTTTCTTTTTTTTTATGTATTTTTTTTTTTTTGCTTTATATTTATAACACAAATAAAAACAGATAAATTTTAATAGTAATAAAAAATAATAAATACAATGATAATAAATAAAATTATACATACGTACATATATATAAATTATAGGTATATATATATATACATATGCAAATGACATATGTTGAAATATGTTATGTATGCAAATATATAATAAATATACAATATGTAATAATACACACGCATGTAAGTTCGCATAAATAAATATTACGTATGTCACAATACATAATAATACATAAACTCGTCTATATAAGTCGAGATAAGTTTTTTGGGCAGAAAAAAAAATATATATATATTATTATGTATTATATACCGCCTATCCACATATGTCAGTTTGAAGGGGTAAAACGAAAAACGTAGTGAATGACAAATTTTTACATTATTATAGCCGAGTATAGATTTTGGAAATAACATGGCGAACATATAAATAATATTAATAATATAATATAATATAATATTGTGTACAGACGTCATTTTATATTATTATTATTATTATTTTTATTTTTTTTAATATTTTTTTTTAAATTTTTTTTGTTGAAAAACGGCATACGAAAGAGAAAAAAACAATTTTTTTTTTGTTGTAAGTATATATTCTTAAATTTTTTTTTTAGTTTTTTATTTTTTAGTAAACTTTTTAAAAAAATTTTTACAAGATTAAAATCTACTTGCGATTTGTTTTACAGCGTAAAAATAAAAACGGATTGTCGAAAAAGTAACAACAACGAATATAATATAATATTATAATGTATATATATATATATATATATATATATAAACATAAATATACATATATATATATATATATAATAATAATATATAATATTATAGTAATAATATAATGTAATAATATCGCGACGGACAAAAAAATTCGATGGCCGAATATATTATTAATATTAAAATATTATCTAGAAAAAATGAAAAAAAAAAACATTAAAAAAAAACGAATTTCTTTCTAAAAGGACGTCCTAAAATATAATATTAATAATAACATTATATTTTTAAGTAATAATAATAATAATATAATAATATTGTATAATGAATCACATTGGAAAAAAAAAAAAAAAGAAATTATAATAATAATTTTATTATTATATTATAGTAATAATTATATACCCGTTCCACCTCCGTTTTTTATACATATTTTTTTTTTTTTTTTTTTTTTTTTTTTTGTAATTATTATTTCATAATATATAATTTTAACGATGACAACGCTAAACAATAATATTATTTAATTTTTATAATATACTTAAGGTTAAAAATCGTACAGGTGTTTTATTATAATAATATCGTCGGTAATAATTTTTAGTATTCTTTTCTTTTTTTTTCATTTAAATTTTTTTAACAAAAAAAAAATTTATTAAATAAATAAAAAAAATAAAAGAAATTACAACCGGGAAAATCTTCGGTCTTATTAATATTATAATATATAGCTTTATAATATATAATAATATTATATTATAGTATTAAATATAAGGCAACTTTGATTACAAATATTTTTTTTCTTTTTTAAATTTACATACAAATATCGTTAAAATACTATTTAATATTACATTACATTAATACAGTATAAGTAATGTCGAACCGTACAATAATAATAACAGTATTACATCGGATGTTTTATGCCTAATTTATTTTTACTTTTTAAGTATTGTACCTATTTTTAATAACACATACAATATTATAATTTTCCAAAAACGGTGGTGTTTTTTTTTTTCATTAGAAGCTCTGAAATTTTATTAATCGAATTATTATTATTATTAATTATTTTTTTTTTTTTTTTATTGCATTGTTTTACGCACAGCGTGTCAGCAAACGTTGATTCATAACGTTATCCGCATGACTGATAAATAACAGATGGATAATATACAGAGAAAGACCACGGGGAGCCAGGTAGATAAATATAGGCAGAGAGAGCGAGAGAGATGAGAGAGTGATAAAGATGCGTTAGAAATAGAGAGTGAGAGAGAGAAAGGGGTAGAGTATGAGAGTGAGTGAGAGAGTGAGTGAGAGATAAAGATAGGGACGGAAAGAAACGGAGAAAGAAAGAGAGAGAAAGAGTGAGAGGGAGTGATAGAAGATCGTATCTTGTGGCCCCCGCGGGGAAAACGGAATCTGGTTGATTTCGATTTTCCGGAAAATACGCGTAGACTTGCGAGAGTCAGACCGGAAAATAAAAGTCTACGAACAATAATACATCGGACGAAATTATTAATATAAAAACCAAACAAAATAAAAAATGCTGCACATCGGTACCGGCCCTTTTTTTCCCAAAGAGACCGGGGTGTTTTTTTTTTTAATACCGACGGTGTGAATCTATAAGACGAATATAATGTTTTAAGACCGTGACTACTGTAGTATCGCGCCCGGGAAATAATAACAAAAAAAAAAAATGCAATTATACCTGACGAAAACTCGTATTTTCGCATAACGTGCGATGCGCGTGCGACGGGAACCGACGTCAAGTCGATTGGAATCGGCGATTTTCTTTCATCTTGGTCTTACGCGCGTGGAACATTTAGACATTTAGACGTGTTCCGTCTCCAAAGTGCCCATCGGTCTAATAAAGCGACAAGAATACTGAAAACAGATTTGGGATTTATCATCGAGTATACTTGAAATCGAATTTTCAATTTTTTTTTATATATTTCTCCAAAAAAATAAAATGCTCTATTTTTTTTTAATAACTATTTTTTTTTTTTTTAATACTGTTTCTTTTTAGGATCTATAGGGATAAAATCAAAAGAGCGGGAGTGTCGTTAACAAATAGACGAATTCAAATCCGTTTTCAGAATTTGTTCTACTGGCTTTACTAGTCCAATCGGTACGGTGGACACAGAACACGTCTAAATTCCTATACGTTGCTCGCGAGTAAGACAGAGACAGAAAATCGCCTCTTCCAATATCCTTAATGTCTTCGGGCGTTGCGTTGTTCGGAGAAGAAAATCCGCAACTAAACGATCCAGGGAAATCGGACGTCATCGGATGGAGGGGGACATTTTTTTTTTTTTTCATTATTTATTCTTATACATTACGCAGTGAAGATATACCGTTATAAAATTAAATTATTGTTTTATAAACTATGTAGGTTTTGGTTTCTTTTTATCACAGATTTTTTTTTTTTTTTGTTTGTTTCCCCGCCCACCCCTGTACACCAGTGCGATACACACTATTAGCTCGACTTGTATTTATATAACTATTGGATTCTTTTTGTGTTTCCTTAAGCGTTAAAAGACAGTAATAACGTACAATAATGTAATATCATAACGCGGGAGGTAAGAACTTATACTTATACGCGGTAAGAACGGAGATAGAGTGATAGTGAGAAAAAATCGCCGGTATACGATAAAAAAAAAAGAAAAAAAAACCCGAAAAAAACGACACGTAGATAATGGTACGTTACGAAATTAGCCGACAGTAACCACGCGAGATATCCTAAAACGATTTCCGTAACCTAACGTCAATATCAATAATATCAATAATATCAATAATAATAATAATAATAATAATAATAATAATAATAATAATAATAATAATAATAATAATAATAAGATACCGCGGTACTTGGCGAGATAATAATAAATGTATATAGTAATAATAATAATATTATATAGGTAAGTAACAATCGAAATAATGACGTACGTGTATTGGCAGTTTGAAAACAATATAATAATAATAATAATAATAATAATAATAATAATAATAATATAATATAGTCGCGATAATAATTTATTATCGTAATAATAATAATAAACCATACAATAATATTACGGTCGGCGGTAAGACGACGAAAAACACACCGAAAAAAAAACAGAAATGGATATTATTTTTAATTTTATTTTTAATTATTTTTTTCTTTTTTTTTTTTATCGATAATAATCAGTATAATATAACCGCGGCGGCGATACTATACCTAATTATATTTCGTGGTCCCGTGTAAAACAAAATTGTATTTTTCATTACTTATACTAGCGAAAATCAATAATTAATAATATAATATATTATCCTAATACACTTTACAATTTATACTTATACAATATACGAGTTTGTATGCTCAATTTATTATCATTATTATTATTATAATATAATATATAATATGTATAAGATGTAGTATATTATTATTATTATTATACGTAGATATTTGTATACTAAAACGTGAGAAGACGACATTTGTTTCTATTCTTTTTTTTTCTTTTTGTTTTCGGTGTTGGAATTTTTTTTTATTTATACGCTTTTCTTTTTTTTTCTCAACAACAATAATATATGTGTACAAACGTCCGATGACAGCGAGTCGCGGGCAACGTATTTGTTATTTTCGCGAATACCGAGAGAGCGATAGATATAGTTATACATAGATAGCGAGACACAAAGAGAGATAGAGACACGTGTAAAAATAAATACAAACAAGAGATACGAGAGATATGAGAGAAAGAGAGAGAAGGAGAGTGAGAGAGTGAGTAAGAGAGACAGAAAGAGCGAAAAAAAGGTACCGGAACACGAAATAATGTGTTTGAACAACGGACACTTTTTTCAGTGTTTAAAAACTAACAAAAACCCGTTGTTGTAATTCGCCTTAAAAAAAAAACAAAATTCTATATTACAGATTAACGGACGCGCGTGACGACGGAGTAGTAAGAGCGATACGGGGGAGGGGAAAACCTAATCATAACCGTTAAAAAAAAAAAAAAGAGAGAAAAAACTTGTGAATAAATCGAGAATCAATATGATTTATATTAATATTACTAACAACGATGATTTGCGTGGTTTATAAAACCAACATTTCCGAAACCGTTTTCGACATCGTGTGATTACTGATCGTTGTCAGTATTATTGTTTGTTAGCGATCGGCGAGTTTTGGCGTTAACGGTTGACGAGACGACGGCGATACGACAATTTATTATCGTAACGGAATAACGGCGACGGCGGCGACGGGCGAACGGGAGAGAAACACTAAGGGGCAGGGGTGGGTGGGGGTTTGGNGGGTTTGGGGGGGGGGGGTGAAGAGAGAGGGGGCAATTCAATTGTACGGCCTGTACGGCATACGATAGTAAATATGGACTCGTTATTGTAACTGTTACGTCACGAGAATTTTTATTTTTAAATTATGTAATTATTATTATTATTATTATTATGAACGCTGGAGAAGTAAAAATTTATATGCGTAAGTGTCATGTATACTATTAGTAAAATGTTAACGATAATACCACGGGGCGTACGATTTGAATTTTTTTTATTTTTTCGTTCCTTATTTCGTTATTGTTCAAATCACGCTCCGAAAGTACAAGACGAAAATCGAAATGACCGGGAGAACACCGCGAGTTGCTATAATACGTCGGGCCGCGTTTGCTCGCGCCGTCCGGCGGATGGGAGTGATGGTGGCGGCGGTGCGGCGGTGCGGTGCGGACCGAGAACCGAGCACACCGCAACTGCCGGTTTTCGGTGAATTTTTTCCGGCCGCCGATAATGAAATCGCCCGAGTCTGAATCTGAGCGCCCGGCCGGCCCGTTCCCGACGCGGTACACGCGGTCGTGCGGTCCGGGCGACGAGGGGACGGATGTGGTGTCGGTTTTTGACATTCACCGTTACGTTTTTTCGCGAAGGGACGGCGAACAAACGAACAAACGACACGGGTGTCGGTGACGGGTTACGATTTTCCCACCGTTTTTCTTTTTTGTACTTTCGGGGGGAGAGGGGGGGGGAGGGGCGCGAAGCGAAATTCGGATCAAGGCGCACGTATGGAAATCCGACAACGGTAGTTCGGCGGGTCGCGTAACAACATTGATATAAATACATTTTTTTTTTTTTTTTATACTAAATCTTACGTTTAAACAACACGATAAACAATATGATATACCGGCGTGTATAATAATATAAGTACTTTATACTTATGAATATATATATATAAATATTATAACATTAATATTATGAACGGGTACGTTATTTCGCCCTCCGGTGTTTCATTCCGTTTGTCACCGTCCGAACGGACACCCGTTTTTCCCGTCGTTGTCCGAAAAGCAATACGCCTGTCGAGTCGGCACCGGGACATTTCGCCACAGATACAAAAACAATGCCATCGATTCTGCCACGATTTCACTACGGTTTTCAGAGTTTTGCTACTGGTTGGTTTTACAGACCGGGTGTTCAAACACGCTGGCGCTATGCCGACGTAGCATCGGCACCACTTGCTCCGAACGACTCTAAACTCACATCGAAACACTCGTACGGCTGTGTTACGTTTCGCCACGGCGTTTAAAGATTTTGCTACGTCTCCGTTTTCCCCGCTTGTTTTTTCAAAATCCATCTTAATCGGGTTATTTCGAGTCATTCAGCACCGGTGCTAGATCATATTTGACGATCACGTGGCCGGTATTACTTTGCACACTAATGTTTCCGGTCTGTGGTAAAAACAACCCGAATGAAACAATTGAAAATTCCGTAGGAAAACTTTTATGAGTATTTCGATACTAATTTGAAGTGATTCGGAGAAAATGCTACGTCTACTGGGCACCGGCATGTTTGTTTCCGGTCTGTTGGAAAAACCAGCCAGTTGGCAAAATCCGGAATTGTCGTAGCGTAACCGAGCAAACTCGCAGCCAAATCAATGACTTTATTTTTGAAGTTTGAGTAAAAAAATGCCAACTCGACGGACATAAAAGTACATCGCGTATACGGACGGAAAACGATGGTAACGGTTTCGGCCCTTTCGGCGGTCGTTTATTATTTTCGTCATCGTCCCCTTGTCGTTATAGTACATTAAAAACGAAAAAAAAAAAAAAAATTATTAAACAACGCAGTAATGAGAACGTTTCTAATGAGTATCAAACCCGAGTCGTCCATGTGTGATATCCGCAATATCTTCGGGTGCGACGACGTGTTTCGTGCCAGGTTTAATATGGGTATCCGAAAAGTCCCCGTTATGTAACGGGGCTCTTTTTTTTTTTTTTTAGTGCATTATTTAAAAAAAAAAAAAAAATGATTCACAGACAAAGGCGTTCCGCAATTTCTCCGCACGATTTCGATTTTGCGTTTGAGTTTAGAAAACAAACATAGGACGTCTATTCTATACAATAGTACTTACTACGAGTTTTTCGAATAATTTTTTTTTTTTTTTTAAATATTTTTTTTCAATTTAACCACCGAGACTTTAATAAAAACCTTTTGAAAAATAAGTCCCAGTGAAAATACTTTTCTAGAAAAAGAACCTAAACACGATCAGAATAATTCGCGAAACGCCTTTGTCGGCGCAAAATATTACCCTAGAGATGAATGGCGAAGACAAATATCGTCGCCTCGGTCCACCGTTCAAGAAGAGCCCCGTTTACGAGTTCTACGAGTTTGGCTCCGGGATTATGGTAGGGGGCGGGGGTTGGTCTACCGGCCTCGGTATAACATAAGTTATCGTTATCGTGTTGTACCGGACCCAACGAACAATATTATTTGTATTTTTTTTTTTTTTTTTTTTTTGTAAAATACTAGGTCTGATCGAAAATTTCCAAGATTGTTTGAATTGCGGGCCAACGGATCGTCCAAGAGCAGTTGATATCACTGGCTTCTGTGACTACCCCCGGGTACGTCCGTATCCGTGAAATCTCTATAATGTTATTTGTTTCGGTGTGACCGATGTCCGTGTAACGTTTTTCTTTTCGCCTTTGGCGTTATTGTAATCAAAACGAGAGAAAAATATGGGGAGTTAGGTTGAGAGGATTTTCACTGTTGTTTATTCCCGGTCGGTAGAGGAACGCAACGTTTCGCGTGTCCCGTGCCAACAAATCGTAACTGAAAAACCGCGGACGTGCCGAATGAAAGTGTGTCTGGAGAACGCGGAGGGAACGTCGAAAACGAATCCAAATTCAGGTTTGTCGGGAACTTTTCGGGTACCCGCGGCAGTCATCGAAACGAGAGAAAAACCCTCTCCGACCGCTCAAGAGTGTCGAGTCGTTGCTCTTCGGGATTCGTCGAAAAACATAACGTCGCAGAGAAGACGAAGAACAAGGGCCCGGAGGATTCGCAGATACGGACGCTGCTCGGGGGTCACGAGCCGACGGTACCGATCCCACTGTCCGCGTCTCGGAACGCGGGAAGGGTGGCGGAGCGCGGTTCACGGTCCCGGAACCTTTTGATCGTAGACGGGGTATCTGCCAAACGGGCAGTTTAATTCATAAAACGCGGGCTCGTAGTTAATTTAACGGTATTTTTAAAACGGATTTAACGATGCACAATAAGAGATTGTAAATCTACCCGCCCCACCCCCACACCCCCTCGCACGTAAAACCTATATTAGAAATTTACAATGTATGACGTTATATTTTAAGAAGAAAAAAAAAACTATTGATAATCACAGACAATTATTATTGTAGTGTATTGTTATAATTATTTTTTTTTATATAAATCACAAAAAAAAAAACCGGACGTGTACATGGGGCGCGGCTGACTGCGGTCGCCTCTCGACGGTGCGAAAAATTACGAGAAAAATAAAAAACATTCTGTATTGTCATTACTTTTTTTCGTTGTTTCCCCCTTTATAGAAATCGGTTTATTATCGTATAATATATTAAAAAAAAAACAACACCCGACGGCGACGGTCGTTGTATTTTTTCGAAAAAAAAAAAAAGAACCGCGTTCGACGAACAACAACAATGATTTTGTACCGGACAAATAGCATTGCAATGAAATTTAATTTTTTTTTTTTTTTTTATTATTAATATCGGTTTTAATTTTTATTTTGTTTTGTTTTTTTTTATTTCATTTAACAGCTAGTGAATTGAGCGCATATAACATTACAATAATAATAGTACAATAATAATAATATAATATTATAATAAAACGATGATTAAATTTTTGAAAAGTTTTCTCTCGAACATTAATCGATTTCAATTAACGAGTAATAATATTAATATAGAGTTGTCGCCAAAACGTAAAAATCTTAAACCGTTAAAGAACAAAACGAAAAACGACGACGGCGGTCACTGCCGAGTGTGGCTATAGGAAAAATAAACTTTGTCATAAAAGTATAATAATAGTATAATTATTAATAAAATGATTAATCGATTATTATAAATTAGTTAATCGTTTTGGTCGTAAAACATCACTGCTGTATTTTATACTTGTTTGTTTGTTTTTTTTTTTTTTTTTTAATGTACAATTTATAACAGATTTAGATTTGTATTATTTTTTAAACTAATTAATTTTTTTTTTTTCCCGGTTTGTATAATAAATAACATTATAATATATATTATCATTACGTATTAAATAGTAAAGCGAATAAAATCAAGTATTGTTTTTTCGTTACGATCGTGTTCGGCGATTGATAAAATACCGTCATCGCGACAACGATGAAATTGTCGACAGACGCGTTGTCGTGTCGTTCCGGCACCGTGCGTATACAATCGTTTTTTTTTTTTTTTTTTTTTAATCAATCGCAGACCGCGGCGGACGCGTCGGGCGACGGTCTCGGGAATAGACGACGGGACATCGTCCGATCGGTAAATAACGGAGAGTAAAAAAAAAATAAAAAAAACAAAAACAAATTGCGATGTTATGCGATAAAAAGATTCGGAATTCCGTGCGCCCGTTTTCTTAACCCCCCGTCGATTCGTGGCCCCGGTCGGCGGGGAAACAAATCCCGGTGACGGACGTACGTCGGTAAGAGACGAATCGCCGGACAGTGACGACGGATGAACGAGAACGCTCGTGCGGATAAGGGCGAAACACGAGAGGGAGTGACAGAGGAGGGGAAAAAATCCGACGAAAATCACGGTGACGCAGTCGAACGAGAAAATCGAGTTCCGGAGCGGAATCGAACGTCGCGCGCGCGGGGTTCGAGACGGAATCGTGCGGGGGTGTAAACTGACGACGACCGCGAGAAGGGTCGGCGGAGAAGAAAAAACCAAAAAAAAAAAATTACACAAACGACGAGAGTACGACAATAACGGCCGCGTTCATTATTATTGTTTTTTTCCCCGGAGGAGTTATTCCGCGAAACACGGTTATCGATATTATATTTGATTAATTATAATTATTATTATTATTATTATTATCATATTGCACGATAATATTATCATTAATGGGCGGTGGTAGCGGCGGCGGCCGCTGCTGCTGCTGCGGCGGCGGCGAAGGCGACTTCGACCGCGGAAAGACGCGCGCGGATCTCCGACGGTGACGAAGACGACGACGACAACGACGACGACAACGACGACGGCGGCGGCGTGTACAGCAACAAGAACGACGGCGACGACAGCGACGACGATGACGGCAACGCGGACGACGCGGCGGACGTCGCGGACGCCCCGGACGGCGAACTCGCGGACGGCCACGTCGCGAACGGCCGCGGTCGCAACGGCCGGAGCACCGGCGGCTTCTTCTGTGCGCGGCCGGTGTATTCGTCGCCGCTCCAGCGGTCGGCACTGTCGGTACTGCTGCCGCCGAGGAGGCTGCGGCAGCGGCGGCGGCGGCGGCGGCTGCGGCCGCTACCAGACAGCAAGGGTTAGCACCAGTCGTCCTCGTCCGAGTCGCTGTGCCGGCTGCTGACCCGGCCGCCGCCGCCGCCGACACCGGTGCCGCCGACCCCGCCGCCGCCGCTGCCGTTGATCTTCTGCCGCCGGGCGGCGGCCACCGACGACGGCTGCAACTGCTGTTTGGACGACGAGGCCGCGTAACCGTTGCGCACCGGCGACGGCAGTAACCGGCCGCTGCGGCCGATCGACATGGCCTGTTCGAAACTCAGCGGCGGCATCGCCGTCATGGCCATGCTTTGCCGTGCCACGGCCGCGGCCGTGGCCGACGCCGGCACGGGCGGCTTGGGCAGAGCCGCGGGCGAGCCGCGCGTCGGCGACGAGTTCAGCTTCGGGAAGTTTATCGACGCCGAATGCGGCGGCCGGAGCTGCAGCGACGACGGTTTGTTCGGCGTGGGCGGTAACCGGCGTCGGTTGCACCCGATCACGGCCAGCACGGGGTAGCTGCTGTTGACCAGCATAGACGGCGGGGGCATCGTCAGGTTCGCGGCCGCCGCGGACGCCGCCGCCACGCCCGTCATCATCGCCGACACGGACGTCGCGTGCAACTGGTGCTGGTACTGGTGCGGCTGGTGCGACGCGGTCGCGGACGCCGACTGGGCTGCGGACGCCGCCGCCGTTTGCTGCGACGGTAACGGTTGTCTTGGCGGTATCGCGGGCCCGGTGGTGGCCGACGACAACGTCGACGTTCCTCCGCCGTCGACCGCCGTGCCCCCGTGATGGAGCAGCTGTTGCCGGTGTTGCAGATGGTGCGGCTGGCCGAGACGGTGCTGCTGTTGGCGTCGGCTGTTGCCGCCCGTCGACACCGGCGACGGCGAACGCGAACGCTGGTCCAGGCTGGTGGTGCCGTAGTACGTGCGGCCGTTCTCCGACCGGTCCGGGCTGGGCGACCGCACCGGGCTCGTCGACGCGGACCAAGAACCTGTGGGCGGAAAAACCGAACACGCGCACGCAGGCACGCGAACGTTTAATCGTTATTAACATTTTTCCCAGAATTATTAATAACGCACACACACACACAAAATAAATAGTATTTGATTTATGCGAAATCGGCGATTTGCCGCGAGACTATCGTTTTCTATGATTTCTAAACATTTTCACCGAATTGGCAAATCGTCGCTACGGATAAATGTGCGGTTCGAGCATCGACCGCGCGCGTACCGTACCTATACCACGCGTGTTTGGTGCGTATATTTATAAATACAAACACTTGAACGAGCGATGTTCGCCATTGGGGGGGAGGGGAGGGGGACGGCCCGCCAACGATAATATTTCACTGTGCAATCGAAATAAAATCGAGTTATTGCAAAATGCGATAGTGCGCTTATTTTTATTCCGGTTCCACGTCAAAAATTGCAGATTTCTGTTTCTTTTTTTTTACTTTTAAAACGCCCCGGGATAGCGTGGACGCAATACAATTATCTACGTTCGGGCGATTATGGTTTTCCGGTGGCGATCTGCACTTATCAAGCCGTTCAACGTGTACGCCCTTATTTCCCCCTCTTTCGCCCGAGCTCCGTGGCTATCGTGTCGTTTTTTCGTCCCCTGTATCGCAGGGAAATCAATATCAAAATATTCATCGCCTGCATTTCGTAAAAAAAAAAAAAAAAAAACCATTCCCCGAATCGTAGTGAAACTCTACTGGACTGAATTCATTTACCCAACACTCATAGGACGTAATATTCTGCAGACGGTCTTACGAACTTATCGGTTTTATTTAACAGGACTATTTTTTTTAGAGAACATCCACTGCGTGTTCACTTCCCCCCACTTAAAACACCCCGTGATCCTAATCAAATCGAATTTTCCCCGGTCACTCCCTCCTAATGAGAGTGTTTTCTGTATATAATATAAAATTTCCTCTATACAATCGTTCGCCATTTATTTTATAGTGGACATACTGCATTGACGGAATCTAAACTTTACCGGCTATCAAATAATTGGACCCCCTTCAAATACCGGATGTTCGCTGCAGACCACCCGAAATTTCTTTTACAGCCCCGGCAAAAAAATATATTTACAAGCGACTCGGAACCGTACATACGATTATACGTCAAACCCATTATGATGTTGTTATAATTATAGTGTAGTTGTTTATTATATCTACAGCCCGCGGACTGATAGCTAGGTCAAACCAAAAAAAAAATATAAGATAGCAAAATGTACACGGTATGGCAATCGTAAACAATAATTTATTATAACAACAAAAAGATAATATTACGTATTATTATTATGTATTAGAATATATTCAATCAAGCTATGTATATGTATATGTATATAAGCGTTTTCGAATAAATGGCCGTTGAATGGCAAACCGGGCTGATAATCACGTCTAAAATAATTTTAGGAAAAAAAAAAAAACAAAAAACAACAATAATAAAAACTGTACATTTTTTTTTTTTTTTTTAAAAAAAAAAAATCGCTACACGTGCATTATTTTGTCGTCTCCGTTAGGGTCTGCGACTACGAAGCAGAATTAACGTATGTTAATGAAAATAATTTTTTTGATCGAGTTAATTCTATTAAACAAAGGAATCCTTCAGTAATAAACGAAATTTTATACATTTTTATGTTCGACTAGCGTAAGTAAAAGTTCACATGTAAACGAATTTTACCTTACAGTAAATAGTAAAAAATAAATTAACTAATTGAAATTGAATTTCGGATTTTGAAAAAAATCATTCCGAGTTCAACACGTCAACTTTAGTGAACGTATATGGGAATAAACTGTTAAGTTTATGTTACGCAAATTTAAACCAGTAAAGAAGTTAAAGATGAAATCAATTAACTATTTAAGTTAAAAAGTTAAATATAAATTAATTTTCCAAAATTATTTTTAACAAGTTAATGGCAACAATAACGTAGAACCGATTTTGCGCTGTTATAATATGTAGTTTGTACGTGCAATATTTTAATTGTTAAGCGAGATACAGGCATTTTTAATTCGCGGTATATCACGTACTCATAAGTCGCTTAAAAATGAATGTGACGAAAACGAAAAAAAAAACCGACGTACAAACACACATAATACCAACATTCCCTTGTAAGCGTTCGATCGATTCACATTGACACGAAACCTGACGGCACGAAATCAGTTCTGATACACTCGGAATTTGTCGAGCCGTACGTTTGTGCGACGGAGAATAAACAAAAACGGCATACGTGTAGCATGGTGTGTAAGAACGACGGATAGTTTATCGCCGCGTCACGGTTGTTCGCCTTTTCAAATGCGATTTACACAAAAACCAAACGATTAAATCTTCGAAAATTACATTATTACCAGTAGTTTTAATCGATAGATAACGATAAAACATAGTATATTATGAATGATTTAATACTTTATGTATTACTTTATTATACACAATTTAATAAACATATTTATAATGGACCAAACGAAACTACATTTTTCATTATATATTTTGCGCAGTATTATTATTTTTCGTATCGTATAGTATATTATAGTATCTATATGTATAGAATACGTTTCATGCTAATGATTTTATATATATATATATTTGTAATAATATATAAATTGTACACAAAAACAATATTTTTAAATCTATTTTACTGTTTTCAAAAAAAAAAAAAAAAAAATAACGTAACAAAAAATGAAAAAACAAATGATTCAATGTATGGGTATTATTGTTAAATGAAATAATAATATGACATACTCATGATGTGTTGTAATAATATGTATAATGTATACCAATAATATGTACCAAAATATTGTAGTTGAACGCAATGAAAAAAAAAAAAAGAAAAGATGAAAATGTCAGTTTTTTTTTTTTTTTTTTTTTTTTTTAATATAGTATTTATAATATCATGTTCGTGTATATTATTTATTATAATGATAATATAATGATGTGAGTGTGTGTTGTAAAAATTATAATATATTATAGAAATGTCGTTCAAAAAAAAAAAAAAACAAATAATAATAAAAAATCAACTGAATAATATGTAAAAAAAAAAAAATAATATTTATATATACTCGAAATTTCAAGTAAGTAAGTACAACAATAATCGTATATTATCTACCTATATATTATGTATGTATGTATGTGTATTTATATATATAATATATATATATATATATTCGCAATTATATAATATATAAAGTGAAAATAAAAAATTACGTGCAATAATATATTGTACCGTTTTCCGTTATGTTTGACTTCGAGTATCTCGACCTAACGAAAAAAAAAAAAAACAAAAAAACCACCGATGGTTTACGATCGAATCTCATCATCATCATAACATAATCATTACATTGTATTATATTATTTCTATCGTCGGACATAAACATTATGATAATGTACCCATAAGCGCAAATAGCCCAATTATTGTCCGAAGGGGTGCACCAATAATTCTGCCAGAGCGTCGATAAATTAAAGATATCTTTAAGATTTTTCAAGATTATATACACAATAAAAAGTACACGGTGATGCACCATCAAAATATCCCGCAGTGAAAATAATCCCTTCAAAATATCCCGTAACATTCCTAATACGAAGCAGTCGTACTGTTGTAACACAAATTCGGAATCTTGACCATATTTCGCCTGAAATCCGTTACTTTGTATTTTCCTCTATTTTCCGTAAACTGAAAAAACACTTGGAAACTTTTGTTGTATTTCCAAACACCTATGGGAGTTTACAATGTACGTGCCATAATTTAAATGGGGATATTTTGAATAATAGATAATTTCAATGGGGATATTTTTAAGGGACGACCATTCTATTATTATATAATATATTTGATGAAGACTTGATTTGGGAGCGTGTTGTCCGAGTTTGAGAGGGGGATAACTCCCCGAGCCCCCTATTTGCGCCAATGGTTATACATATTATATTATGTTAATAAATCTATAGTATTTAGACTAATTCGGCTTGGCGTTTTAGTGAATGTTCTCCTTTATAATTTAATATGCTTACCAATTACGACTATATATATTGACCCTCTTTATGTTCGGGGTTTGTTCATTTGAAAAAAAAAATAAATTTGAATTTTCATTGTAATGTCACGTTAATCTCATCTCTTGAATTAATACCATAACATGTTATATTATACTCGGTGCATGTAAACGTAAAGTACGCATAATGTAAACTCATGGGCGTCACTAGATTCAAAATTTTTGGAACGTAGAAAAAAATATCAAACAAAAATTTGCATTCTGTTTATTTTTTTGAAAGTTAAATGAAAACAACTTCACAACTTCACTTTAAAAACGAAAATAAATGTGTCCCTCGTTTCTAGTATATGTAAACCTATTATTTTAACACTTTATGTTCAAATATAGCTAATTTCACGCTACTACAATATTTTCAATATTTAAATTGAAATTTTAATTTTAAAACCTAAAAAACTACGTCTGAGGACGAATACTGGTTTTAAGTATTCTTTTATACCGAATACTGATGTTGGTTTCTTTCATTCTTCTTTAAAATAATCTAAACCGTAACTATAGTTAACAAAAACCGATCTAATTGTTTGTAAATTGGCCACTTATTTCTTTAAGTTAGTATTTTTTTCAAATATAATAATTTCATAAACTTGTTTTTCTAGAAAAAATATTTTTAGGTAGGTTGTATACATAAACAATTCGCATATGAACAAAATATAATTAACGTTATGATACTGTCACAGAATATATTATTATTAATCGTATAACGTCAATAGTCGAAAATTGTTTTTCCCATGATATTTTCACTGATTACTCTCTACGTTATTACTTTAATCATTTTCGTTAGACATGTATAATAAATATCGAATATTATATTAGATTAAATACATTTTTAAAGCATTAGAATATTAATACGACGACCTTGCTATCACCAAACATATTACGGGATAGCAAAGTATCCCTCAGTATCCCTTAGTGACGCCTATGTGTAAACTTCATAGATTCGATCGGATAAAATTTCGGATATGAGACACGTCGATTTCGAAGATTTAACATACCTATATACCGGTATCAAATACAATTTGATTTCCGTGTGCGGGACACGTATATGGACCGCGATTTACGATATTATATATCGTGTGTGTACTAAAACCATTCATCTAATACGGTGTATATTATTATGCATACGTGTGAAAAATTGTATAGGTAAGAATAAGTATATATATATATATTGTATTGGTAATATTACATGTTAACGTTTTGGTTAGGCATGGCAATTAATTACCTGTTCTGTGTCGACGGTTCTCTTGTTTGACGATCTCCACCACATTGGACACGGTGTCGCTGAATCCGATTTCGTGCGGATGATGACTGTGGTGGTAATGATGCGGATGATGGTATAACCTTCTGATCGGCGACGGAGACCGGTGCTCTCTCCTGCACACACGATAAGAAAAGATTGTTACGATGATATTGTAATGTATTTGAGTACGATGAACGTTTATCTAAAACTGATTTCCCACGTGATATTATATTTGATGCTTGTAATTTAACAATATTTATTGAATTCACGAAATCGATCCATACGACTTGCAGAGTATCGACCCGAAATATTGTTTACCTGAAAGATTGGGTCATCCCGAAATTAGACTCGAGCGATGATCGACTTCATCATAATATTAAAATACACAGAGTTAACTACGCCGATTTCGGCAATTGTCCGACTTAATGCGTCGGAGTCCAATTTCTTGTGATTTTTTCCCCGGATTCTGGTCATAGCTGAGGAAATTATAACAGCCGCTAAAGAATAGCTCAGTATATTACGTTTCACTTGGTATCTTAAAAGAAGCGGAATTTTCGTACTTTAGTAATTGCTTGAAATATTTTTTGAAATCCCCAATGCATTTCTACCCGCAAATTCACATTTAGTAATAACCAATTTCTAACGTAGGTACTTCTAAACTCATCGTTTGTGCCTAAGGTCACTCCAGGTTTCAAGATTTGTAGAATATAACGTTCTTTAACTACTGATTATAGTTTGTTCAGAAATTAAGATGTATACATAATATTTATTAGACTTCAGTTCACTAATTTATCGATAAGTTCAGAAAAATAATAAAAGTAAAATTTAATCAATTTGTTATTAATAATTGAGTGAGTGAATAAGTTTATGTACAAAAGTCTGAAAACTGAAATTCAAAAGAAAATCACTTTTTCAATATAGTTTATATAATTTATGTAACCAAAAAATGTATTGTTATTTTTAGAAATATTATCGATAAATAACACCAATTTCTGGTCTAATAACCCATTGATACGCATAACATTTTTGATTTTTCATCTACGGAGCAAAATGCTCCAGAGGCCTTTGGTGTGCCAGCCCGACATTGTATGTAAGTACACTGGGCCCTGATGTTTTATTTCAACAAGACCAAGACTGGTTGAGTCTTAAACTTGGTGAGATCATCAGTTCGTTTAGCTCTGCTGCTAACCGTTTTTTTTACTTAATCTCAACAGGCTCACGCGTGCCTAATAAAAAAAAAATCGACCGAACAGGCTTCTACGTGCACCCCAATGCTTACCGAATGCTCGGCGACCGCGATCTTGGTTGCCTGTAACCAGGATGTAAGTGCATGCTACCACTCTGATGTTGCTGGGACTGTTGTCCGTCGGAATTCGAGTCCTCAGACGGTCTCCGCGATGATATCACCACGTCCGTCAGCTCCATCACCTGTAAATCGCCCATGCTCTCGTGTATAAATTTACTATTCCCGCGGTTCCGTGTTACTTTTATAATATTATAATATTACTTATGATTTATAATAATATGTGTAAATATGTATAATATTGGTGGTGCTAGTATTTATTAATATTATTAATTAATATATGTATATATTTTTGTAGATAGTATTTGTTTTATGTACACGAAATAAATGGAAATTCTAAACGAAAAACAAAACGAAACGAAAAGCTAAATAATAAAACAAAATGAAACAATAAAAGTAAAAATAATACAAATAAAGGAAAATAAATGTCCGCAATAAAAAATGTTCGGGATTAGACAAAAAAAAACATTGGTTTTTCTGTTGAAGCCGGAGATAGATATTTGAGTTGATTAAACACAGGATGTTGTGAATTAATTCTTTTTACCGTTATGGTGTAATATATTTACTGAAAAGTTACAACCGACCATCTTGCGGCTTCGGAAGGTTTAGTTTGGAATGTCAAAAAAACGTTTTTTTTTTTTTTTTTTTTTTTT